TTGGATTTACGAGTTTTTGACTTTTATAAATTTTCAACGCCTCGCCTTAACTGCCAATCCGCTGGAATGGAATTATCGCTCGCTGCTCGCGTTGTAAACCGACTTCGGGGCCATTTATTATCTGCACAGATAATCCACAGACAGCACTTTATTATCAGTTATAATAATAATTTACTTTTATAGATCCACATTATTCTTGTTTGTTCTTATTTGACTGCATTTTGATGGGGCGAAATGGGCCTAATAAAATAATGGCGCGCCTTAATTATGCTAATATTTTATGTATGTGTTTTTGAAACTGAAAAGTTATAAAACTAAGTATTCTGTTTCCTTGGAGAAAATTGGCCCAACAAAAATAGAAAATAGCTAGTCGAAGTGTTTAAATATGAAGTAACTAAAAATTTAAAAAAAAATCATTCAAATAAAAATTATGAATGAATATTCATTTGTATTTGGACTCGAATATATATACATATATAATACACAAACATAAAATACACATACACAGGGACAGAAGTTTCAATGCATGATTTTTTTAGATTCAAGTTAACGTATGTGATCTTTTATATTATATGTCTAATTATCTGTCAAGGTATATTTAGGTATGTCAAGGACCCCTATATAATTCTCATAAAAACAATAATTTTAAAACGGGATAACGAAGTAAACAATTGTAAACATTCTTAAAGATAAATTAGTCTAAAGCTCTTTTAAGATTCATATTTTATTTTTTAAGTACATTTAAAAATATTAATTAAAAACAAATAACAATCAATCAATTGCGACTATTAACATAAATAAAAAAATATTAAAAATTCCTGACAAGTTACTTTTATTATTATTTTCTGCTTTCTACGAGCTCAGTAAAATGCATCTAAGTATTAAAATTAAATACTTAATTTTTATTGTACACAATCGGTACAGGATTTGCATTGTGTGGGTGTCTAATTAGGCCCATGAAGGGAATTACCATTATGTATAATACCGTGACTAACGCCCACTCTCGGCTGATGTCTCTTTACATCTGTCATAATTTTTCTACGTCGCGATTTATTCGCAAAACGCGACAATCCGATTGTCGGTCGTGAGCTGGTCCATTATAAATTATTCGATTATTTATTTATAGTAAAATAAATATTATTATATTGTTTATTTTTACCTTATATGCAGGTATAAACGGTTGTCTATTATTCTGTAGTGTTCATCTAAAATAATTTGAATATCGATCATATCAATACTATCAATTTAGTTTTACGCAACTTAATAGATAAGTTTAATAAATATTAATAAATTATATTTAATAAATAGACTAGTCTAATAGATATTATAGTAAAATAAATATGATTTATTTTAACTTAATATAATTCGTTATCTATTATTCTATAGTGTTCATCTAAAATAATTTAAATATCGATTAGCCACGATATTATGTATATCGATACTATCGATTTAGTATTACGCAATTTAATATATCTATCTATATATGTCTATACTTATAAAATCGTCTGCTCTGAATGATTATCAACACATAGCTAAAACTTGAAAACCGAAATAAGCATGTTTATTTTAATTTCAACTTAAAAGGGAAACACAATATCACACGTACGAAACCACGTACAGTAAATAATCTATAAAACTTAACAATACTTTTCGTTGTATCGATTATATCGATAACTAGTTTAAAACAATAAGTATTATATCGCTTAATAATAGTCATGTATATCGTATTACGAAAAACTTTGGAACTTACTTCCACATTCTGTATAAAATTCTAGAACATATTTCTTTATGAAACTAGCTTGATATACCTACCTTCTGTATATTTTTCAATTATATCAATTTATTTATTTTTATTTGCCTTATCATTTGAAGATTTACTTAAAGAAATTTCGCCAATTGTCAATCTCTTCCATGGTAACAGTTACAAAACTAATTTTCTTAGATACAATAAGATATAAAATAAATAAATAAATCACTACTGAACGATGTTAAACAAGTTATTGAGGCTTGGCGATGATTCATCGGCTAGACGAGCCTTAAACATTCTCACAGACCAATTAAAAATTATTTCCAGTTGTCGTTTATACATATAATTGGTTAGATAGTAGTATTCCGTTAGATCATGACTAGATAAAGTAAAAGTAACGAAATAAAAATCACAGCGGGTATTTGTAGACATCTGTCGCTGGACAGATGTTTAGACACGAGTGCTATAGTAGGAAGATGTTGATGAAAGTATATTGAAGGTTATGGCCATATGGCATATCCATGCTAGTATATCTCATATTTAAATGGTCTATCTATATGGATAGAAGTCTACTATGATTTTAGATTTTTTTTTAAACGCTTTTATAATTATGTTTCTTAAATTTTGCTCTATAAAAAACATCGACTTCAATCGTGACAGAATTAGTTTTTTTATTACAGAACCAACTATTGAACTTATTTTGATAAAATTTCTATGAATTATCCTTTTAAATAAAAAATAATGTTCTAAATCGATTAAAAATAGTAACCGTTACAAATAAACTTTGTCATAAAAATCATTATTAAAAACGGGTAAGGATTAGCGTAGATATCGCCTATTATACCTACACACACACACACACATATATATATATATATATATATATATATATATATATATATATATATATATATATATATCTATATATATATATATATATTCTTTCTGGCAACCACTTTAAAATTAAATAAATAAAAATAATTAAACAAATTGAATTCTTAAGTAAGTGGAAAATTATTAAATCTATAACGTTACTAATTGTATTATGCGACTTTCCTAGCGAGAATTAACATTAAAATTATACCGTGTCTCAATTTTGGTTAAAATATATCTGTATTCTAACTTTAATTCATAGTAGGCATGTAGTTCTTATGCACCTTTAATATCATTTTATAACTTCTATAGCTTAGTAGCCAACGTTTCTGAGCAGTAGAAATATTTTTTCGATAGCACTTATTTGGGATAATATTAAGATTGGGTCATTGGATATCTTGGAGTTATATTTTACAAAAAAAAAAGATTTCAATTGTGACTAAACCAGTAATTTTGATTTCACAACTAAACTCCTTAACCGATTTTAATAAAATTTCTATTCATATAAAAATAATCTTCGAAATCGGTTTATAACTAACAAACGTAAAAAAGGTTACAACCGAATTGAGAACCTCCTTCTTTTTCAAATCGGTTCAAAATTCAAAAATTGTTAGCATATATTAACGTTTAATTACATATAAACAGTAGGCTATGTCGTATACCGTATTAACCGACTGACATTACATTTGTTATTTACATGTGCACGTACTTCCTTTAATTGGCTAGCACCTATTCGTTATAGTTATTTAAAGAAAACGTTCCAACTCATTACGGAAGATAAATGCACCTCTCGGCGTCCGCTCGCATTCGTATCTGTGCCTTGAATTAATTTCGTTCGAGCATTGAATGATGGCGAAATTGACATTAAAAATCCCGGTCGAACGTCTCAAGTAATTGCTGAATAAAATACTTTTGTATAACATCCAAAAGCGAAACACAAAAAGCGAATCCCAAGCGGTTGCCGCTGTGTGCGCGCACAGTAATTTATATGCGTACACGATGACAAGTCAATAAAAAAATGATTTCATTTGCTTATTGAGTCTTTAATAATGCTGGCGCGGGATTCGCTCGGCCCGTTCCACATATTATTATTATAAATAACAACAAATACATGTTCTTATTATTTTTACATGCATACAGGGCTCCGTTTTTTTTTCCGATTACATTTTATTGTGGGCCGCGAGGTGGCCGGAAGCCCACCAAAGGCGCACGCGAGCCGCAATATATTTCTATGTGAATAGCGTTAACCGTTCAGGTGACATTTGATTACATGTTTATTAAGACGGTGTTAATTATACTTTTTATTTTCATTCGGATATTCATCGATTGCTATCGAAGTCAGCGGTTTTATGGCCCTCGAAGAATTCCATCATAACCTTGACGCCGCACGAGCGAAAGCTTAATGAGATGGCTTCCACTAACAATAGCTCTGTTATTAATACGTATTATGCCGTAAAATTACAATGTCTACGCACGCGAATTAATAACGAGATAATGTCCATACACGACAATCGAGAAAGTTTATGCACAGTTTTTTAATGAGTATACTAAAAGACGTTCATTATTCATCGATGTCCAGTTTTATCCGTTAATAATATCGTCCCACAGCGAGCTCGAATCTCGTAGACAATGAGTTGGTATGGTATTAATCGATAAAAGTACCAGGGCTATTAAATCGATATTAAGAGAGAGAATTCGATGCGCGCCGTACCACTTGTAATGATCAAATTTATAATCTCTCGGGTAGGTAAGAGGCACTTCTTTTATTTTCAATCATCGAGATATACCCTCTCTCTTTTAATTGTATTTTATGAGTATTTGATTCTAATGCTGGGCCATTAATTATTTATAGTATTCGATACGGGATGAGAGCATCGATTTATGCATTCGTCCGCTCGAGATGAATGAATGCGTGCAATGATTGGTTTATGTTCAAATATTTTGTTGTAAAATCACTGACTCCGCGGTGGGTCATATCCTTTTAACGACAGTCACAAAATTAATTTAATATCAAGTAGGTATTCAATATATTTTTAATTTTCTAAATTGAAAAATAACTACAAAGGAATTCAAAAAAATATTTGACAAAACCAATTCGCTAAAACATTGGGGTCCAAGCCCTCGCAATGCAATTCGTTGATGAGTTCGAATGTTTCGCGTATCGAAATTTAAATACCTACCAAACTTATTTGAGATGTTATGAGGTTTTTTGTCCTCGAACCCTAATAATAAAAGTTGATTAAAATATTGAACCTTTTGTTGGGACGTCGTAATTATTTGAATATAAAAATAACTAATCAGAATCTTCAAATATTTGAGTCATATAACATTAACTTGCCTGTAATATTTAAACACATAACATATATTTGTGTTGCCGTAGGTTGTCGTGAGACGGCGTTCATCTATGCTATAACGAGCGCCGGTGTAACGCATGCTGTCGCTCGTGCGTGTGCTGAAGGGTCCATCGAGTCTTGCACGTGCGATTACTCGCACGTCGATCGCGCCCCTCATCGCTCCCGTGCAGCTGCCGCAGCCAACGTTCGAGTTTGGAAATGGGGCGGTTGCAGTGACAACATCGGATTCGGCTTCAGATTCAGCAGAGAATTCGTCGACACCGGGGAAAGAGGAAAGACCCTTAGAGAAAAAATGAACCTGCACAACAATGAAGCGGGCAGAGCAGTAAGTTACAATTTATCTCACCCGACGATTGGCTCCTTTCATACTCATCCATCAATACCACTTATCCAATCGCCACTTAACAGTAGCACCTTATAAACATCCATTAAACAAAACAGCCATCGAGTCGACGGCCATTGTCAACGTTACGTGTTTACATTACCATTACGGGTGACGATCGATCGTCGGCCACTTGACATGTCGCTAAGTGTAATATTAATTATGCGTCAGACGGCTCGGCCCATCGCACAACGACTGCGCAACAGGCACCCATTCGTTGCGCTCGCGCATCTCCCTCCCACCGTACACCCACATTTGCATACTTACTGTCCGTTCCTTCCCAAAATCCATCAAAAAGGGACTGCAAGCGCCTCGAGCCACCCAGACGCATCATTAAGCCACGCGCTTAATTCCTGTCACGGCGAACGCACTGGGTGTCCATCTGATGAATATTCACAACATTCCATCGATTGTTTAACACATATTTGGACACTAGACTGTATAACATTACCAGATATCTACATGTGAATGAATAAATACCGTCGGGCACGTTCTCCGAAGCGCCTGCGCTTGGGGATAGGAAAATATTTACTGTCTCCAATCCTCACGTCATTTATCTACCTTCTAAGAATGATGAATGTCCCTAGAATATGATTTATGATCAGTCCACACGCGGTGACGACCGGCCCACCTCTTCACGATTTGTAACAATTTGCTCGATCGTGAGATGCGATCGATGGAGTACGCTTAAAAGATCATCGATCATTTGTATCGACGCTTATCGTAGGAATTTTAAGATATTTGGACATGACTAGGGACCTCCTTGTTCTTAAGTTTGAATAGTTTTGTCTATTTGATACTCATTGTTTTATTTTGTCTACAGCACGTGCAAACGGAAATGCGTCAGGAGTGCAAGTGTCATGGTATGTCCGGATCATGCACAGTAAAGACCTGTTGGATGAGATTGCCGAGTTTTCGGTCTGTGGGCGACGCACTGAAAGACCGTTTTGATGGTGCGTCACGAGTTATGATGCCCAATACAGATCTGGAAGTGCCAGCACAAAGCAACGATGCAGTCCCACACAGAGTACCGAGAAAAGATCGCTACAAATTCAAACTAAGGCCACATAATCCTGACCACAAATATCCAGGGAACAAAGATCTTGTATATCTGGAGTCGTCACCGGGATTCTGTGAAAAAAACCCGAGGCTCGGCATTCCCGGTACTCATGGGCGTGCCTGCAATGACACTAGCATCGGCGTCGACGGATGCGACCTCATGTGCTGTGGTCGGGGTTACAAAACAGAGACTATATTTGTAGTGGAACGTTGCAATTGTACCTTCCACTGGTGTTGTGAAGTCAAATGTAAAACGTGTCGCACAGAAAAAGTGGTTCACACGTGTTTATAGGCGTCCATGAGATACTAATGACTAGTACACTTATATTCAATAACTCTACTTACACGAGTGTGGAACGGTTGTGATTGTGACTTAGGAGAGAGTGCAGTAGACCTGTTTAAGTACTCGAGGGCAGATAACGGACCTTGTATATAATCACGTCTCTTTTTCATCTATCGAAGTAGTCGAAATCGTATTTCATGTTGACTAATGTATATAGCTCTGTATCACTGTTTATTTCTTCTTTACATACGATAATTGATGCGACGTGAAATTAAAATAAGCTACTCGTTCCGATAATTTATTTGGCTATTAAGTGCGAACATGTGATCTAGTAACGTTATTTTCTTTTTTATGGACACTGACGTTAGGAAATTAATGAGACCAGATTAACGACGATTTATTTCATGCAGTTTGTCATCCTTATTTTTATTATTGGAATTTGGTTCATTGGTTTCCTTACGCCCAGTTATATACCTAATTAAATTTTAGATATCACTACACGCGGTAAATTAAACCAAGTGGAAATATTATGCGAATGCTTAGGACAACTTTGACTGGTATTTCTTAATATCATTTTCAAAGTTTATATCCAAGTTATGAAGGAGTAATCCCTTGTAACGATAGTAATAATCATATGGATTTTATAAATGCTTTCTATTTTATAGATATCCGCGTCTGGTGCGACGACGCATAACTGTTTTGAGATTCAAGAGCGAAATTATCTTGTAATTATAATTTCATATTATAATTAAGCCGGTTAATGGAATTTGTGGCTTAACAGCATTTGCATAAAGTATCTTCTTGGGTGTCCGCGATCGGAGGTTGCGCTCGGGCTTATCAGTGAGTAAGTAGCGCCATCGTAAAAGTGTCCTACATTACGAGATAAACGCTCCCGAGAATTTTAATTAAATATTAAACGAATTAAATAATCAGTATTATATGTATTATATTTGTATGCGTGTCGCGTCTGATATTTCGAAGATAAAGGTGCACGCAAGACCACTTGACGCTTGTTATATAGTGTTATACAATTTACACATATTGCTTGTTCATGTAAATTACTATAATTATAGTTAAAATGCATGTTACTGTGGTAACTTTGTATTTGCCATTTTTGTGCTATTCTCTAAGTGGTAACTTTGAGAGGAAACTATAAGCAGAGTTTGTTTTCAATCTCTGTCTCTTTAGACAAGTGCAAATAACTCAAGAGATAGAAAGAGACAGTGACGCCTGGTGTATTGTTCTTTCTTGTAAGGTGATACGTATTATATCCCGTTCGCCATTTGTCTAAAGACGCTAATTCTCAAAATACCAACTTTTTTACAGAATTAATTTATTATAGTTAAAAAACAATTCGTGAATTCTTTAAAAGTCCTTTTTAGTGAATAATTGACAATAAATAACTATTACCTGAACAATATAGTCAAAATTCAAAAGACGTAAATTCTATTTCGATGCATGCGTTTTAATCGAGATATGAATTAATTGAAATTCCGTTCGATAATTATTAAATAACAGCTCAATTAGACATTAATCAAAATTAACATTGACTCATTTTAATATAACTATTTTCTGGATGGTTCTGTTTTATACTAATATATTCTGACAATCAAAATTAGACCGTTTGCCATAAAATATAAAAGCTTTATTAAATGTAAATGTACACATATATCAACGTGAATGATACTTCATATGTGATATAAACATAGTTTTAGCTTGTAAGTAGGTATTGATATAGGGCTTGTCCTAATGAGCTTGTATGATATAGGCACGGCAGTGAATTATATAACAAATACGTGTGTTTTATATAAAAAAAAAATATTTATTGAAAACTTGTTTTAATTTATTTTATTTTACTTTAAAACACGTACCTTTTAAAGTGAAATAACATGGTAGTTATAGTAAGAAATCCGATGTTAAAACAATCGGTGTTTTTAAAGCAGGTATTTGTGTACTTATCTATATTTAAATATTGCTTGTAATTATGGGATCTCTGTACATAGACTTACCTAATGGTAAAAATATAACTCAGTGACAGAGTGTAAGTACCGAGGAACTGATGAAGCGTCGGATTTTAAAAGACTGAAATATTTTTTTTAATATTTGTAGTTATAATATCCATCATTGGATTTATACCTAGGTACAGCCTTTATTTGGAGTTTTAGAATGAGAACAAATGTGATAAAAAGTATTTTAATGTTATTTAAAGCCAGTTCATAAGTTTCCGAAAAGGTTTGGGTGCCATTTTTTTTAATATTTCTTTTTACATCTGACAGTTGTGTTCTTTTTAAACAAAATTATTTCCATGTACCAATCAAATTGTCGATATGAAATTAATTTTACGCATGTAAATATTATCATTAATTAATAATGTTATAAGTTATTTATGTGAATGTAGCATTTTAATATGTTAATATTAGGTAAACAATACGAATGAAATCAGCTGAACTTATCTGAATCTCAAACTTGTTGTGTATAAATTTTATGTACCTTTTTGAAATATATTTCGTCCATTGACCGCGTTTGGGGTTGACACATTATTATGATATTGGTTGTACATTAGCAGTACCTATTTATAATTAAAAATATTTGATTAGTTGTTACTAAAAATACAAAATTGATCGAAAATGTTCACTCGTTTTATTTGTCTCCATTCCTTTGTTGAAATGACTACACGAAACGGCAACATGACTGTGTTTTTTGTGTGTATATTACAGGACATCTTTATAAAAATAATTATTAATCTATTCTCATATTTTTTTGCAATACATTTTAAGTAACATCCTATATTAATTATATATAATAATATATTTAATATATAATATTATATATAATAATATATTTGTTCTACCTTTGATGTTGAATTCACGAAACACACGAAAAGGGTCCCACCAAGAATATTATTATGTAGCCGTTTCCCGCGGTGTTATCCGCTTCTAATTATGTAGTTCTCGTATATAATTCCCATTGAAACCCTTCATGAATCCGTTTTTATATTGTATTATATATTTAAATTATAATTATGTACCTAATACCTTCATAAAGCTTCAACCAATTCAATTAATCGGTTATTTTATAGCATTTTATATGTGATTCTTTAGATTAATATAACCTTTTTAATCATGAACTGACTGAAATAAAATAAACTCTAACTGTTAAGTGGAACGAACCACAATGCATTAGTGAAAACTGCATTTAAATCGGTTGAGCCGTTTCTGAGATTAGCTTGCACAAACGTAGAAACAAACATACTAATGAAAAGAAAAAAAATTTTAAAATTTACATTATTTTGGTTTCTATTCCGTTCATAAAGCCCCTTTTCTTATATATCTTCCATGTACAAATAACGACCAGTTACGATTTTATTATATGTATTGATTGATACAATTCATACATGAGAGGTAATATGAGTCAAAACAATATTTTAAAAATTTTTGTTTCTCTGACTGTCTGTATGTTTGTTCCGACATCACGCAAAAATTACTACTTTAAATTGGATATGATCTCCACACCTGTATTTATGAGGATCTAAATTATAATTTGATGTATATTTTAATACCCAATCTAGAAGTGGTTACCTATTTATAAAAATCTACGAACGAATTTGCAGGCAAACATAATCAGTATTAAATATGCCTGCGACTTAATATATAATATATAATAAATAACATAAATAAGGATTCTATCAACTCCTTATGATTATGAGTTATATTCATGAATATAAGTAAGAATTACCTAAAAAAACTTATGACATTTTTTTAAATAAATTTATTTTTTCTCTATTCTTTTCTTATGCTTTTCCATTGTATATTTTGCTTCAATCATTAGGTATTTTTCTGCCTTAATTTCTTTTATCTGCTATTCTAATTAATCATTATTATAGTTGTATATTATATATATAAGTATATAGTACCTACCTACCTACCTACTTAATTTTCTGCTTGTCTCATGGTTGACTGGAAGAGAACGCCAGTAGGTGTTAAGTTCGCTATATGTACACTTACTTGTATTATATTATAATGAATTGATGTTTAAATAAATAAATAAATTACGAGTTTCTTAAATAAAGAACGAAGCACACTTTCGCGCACTTACCAAACAAAACACATCGCAATGTAAATCAAGACTTTCACATTGCCAACTGTATGACAAAGTATCATCTCGAAATATACGAGACAGTAACATCTCCATTAGACGTTTATCTGTCTGTATTTCGTGTCGACCGTACTTTACGGCCACTATTAAGTATCGAGAGACTATTGCTATTCATCACCCATCTCGCTCGCACTAAAGAGGAAACATATTATACTTTTTCATTCGCAATTCGATACGTAATCGGCCGTGCAGTAACAACCCCCGAGATGTCCACCGCTCGATATATGACGATGTTTCCATTTCGTTATTTATGCCTGTACACTACGCAATGCAACTGTCATAATCTCCGCCATTTTGTTTTATTGCGAACGCAACCGTTGAGGTTGGTTTTGATAGCGCGCAATTTTCTGAAACAACTTTATTTTCTAACAAAGGCCTTGTTGTTTGATGGAAAAGAATCTTGTTGTGTGGTTCTTAAAGTTCAATTTCGTGTGCGGTTGCGACTTGAAAGTGAAAAGTCAATCGGTGTTGGTGGTCGCCCGAACCCCGAGGCACGTTCCCACGAGTATCGTGCACGTTGGAAAATTTATGTTTATGAACTGAGAAATCTGTCATAAGGGATACGAATGGCGTGGCTGAATCTGAAATAGCGTGAATAATTTTTCACGCGAGAGGATTTTTGCATATTACAAGCGCATTGCAACATTCCTTGGCGATGCACACGCAGAATGTCAATACAGATAAAAAACAAGTCTCCGTGGAATCACGTGAATGACGAAAATACCATTCCCGTAAAATCCTGTCTCATACTGTTGTAGAAATGTTAAATTGTCCTTTAAAACATTTTTCTAAAGAGAAACTTTATAAGAAGTGGTGTGTACCTTGGTATATTTGCTCGTTCGTTAATAGTGTCAATATTAGTATAGTCCATTTTGATTAGTATAGTCCATTTTGATTAGTATAGTCCATTTTGATTAGTATAGTTCATTTTGATTTTTCATTATTATTATTATTTTTTATTTAATTATTTATTAAATAACTGATTTCACATTTACCTATAATATTAGTAAGGATTAAGTATTAACAATATTTTTTTTATAGAATGAATCAAATATTAACTTTTATATAATCTATGCGCTTATCAATATTGCCATATAGTTATTGAATACAATTACTATTTGCATTTACGTATATATTGCTCAGCTATAAATATTGTAATAAACTACTTATTTCAATATTCTCTTACAAGATGTTGAATACTTCGACACGAAATTCTATATATATTATGTGTATTTTACTCGTCATGTGTCCAAAAAGTTAGTCAATAATTTAATAAAATATTTATTTTCGTCATCTCTTCGTGATGAGTGATTTCTTAGAAGTCGGTTACCCTTAAAAACAGATCATCGACAATTGATGGTGTTAAAAGTTTGACATACGCGTATGTCCATACGTAGACTAAAATTTTTACGAGAACGCTAATGGTGAAGTTTGATGGGTTTGAAGATTTTGTAATTAAATATATTTTTAAGGTTATCAAAAACAGGTTGCTATGAAAAATAAGATACATATTTGTTATATTCGCAGCAATTGTTTGTAATAGTATAAATCGGGTACCTAAATCCATGTATATCTAATGCATGTATTTAGGTACCTGCCGTTATTTTTATTCAAACATACTATTTCTCTGTTTACTGTCTGTTAGATGTTATGTTATTATTAATAATGAATATTATTATACTGGTTTTCATTTGCGACTTCGTTTACGTGACTAGGTTAAAAAGTAGTAAGTTTGTAAGCACGTATTATATTATGAAGCCATCTCCATCTCATACATTACGTGTATACCAAGTTTCATAGTGATTGGTTAAGCCATTGAGGTGTTAAGAGGAAATAAACAAACAAACAAACTTACTTTTTTGTAACTAGCTGATCTAAGTTGTCTGCTAATTTTATATTTTTGCTAATTTATTATTCTTTCATATTTATCATATGCACGAACTGTCAAACGCGCAAAATTTAAATAGTCGTTAAGTTTTCTGAAATTTTCAAATCTGCTGTGCAATTTTCTTAGTTTTACGTTCAGTTAGTACCTTCAAAGTATAATCATATCAGTCTTTAACTGCTGCACATAAGCCTCCCCCTTGAGAGGGTTTTGCCAGTAGTTGCCACGCTTGGCAGGCAGATTAACAACCGCAGTTAGGCTTTGGAGATGTTTTAAAAGGGATGCTGCTACTCATCCTTTGCTTTCCTTTAGTCGCCTCTTACGACACCCACAACAAAGGAAGGGGTAGCCTGTTCTATGCAGGGACCTATACGGCTATTGTATGTGCTAAGTTGCCATTCCTGTGGACTCCGGTGTTATTCCTCTGTACCCAATTTTTGACAATTGCTTCCACTTCATCCGAAAGTCTTCTTAAGAGGACGTACGGTGCTTTGCTTCACAGCGTGTGGCAGAGGTATAATTCGGTGTATTTAGAGTTTTTCTGTGTGGTAGAATTCGGAATGAGAATTTTTTTAGATCAACGTCTTCATTGAAAAAACATATTAATTATATTATTTTTGTCAAAGGAAGTCATGTGCTGGCTACGCAGAATGAAGCTACCTTTCTTCCAAAATTAAATTTTCCGTCTAATTGGGCTAAAAAAGCACTTAAACACGAAGGAAATACTATAAACAATTTAAAGTCCATTGAACCTGGGTTCGATTTTACTGAAGAGGAAATGGTGAGGTTGAAAATTTGGCCAGACGCAATTATACCTTACTACATTGATAATTTATCTTTCGGTATGTATTGTCATGATTTTATAATAATACATAAATACCACTAAATGTATTACCATCTAGTCTTAAACTACTTAAAGTACTTTTTAATAAAATATATACATATCATACATAGAAAATACCATGTCATGTCACACTCATGAATATAAACGTTTATATTGTGTATGAATCGAACCCGCGACCACTGGAGGGTAAGGCGGTGCATAAAACCATTACACCATCAAGGTCATGAAATATTAATCAATATGAGATGATAAAATGTATAATCTAAGAAATAATTCTTGTAAGAGGCAATTACAGTGGTACTTTGCATTTTTGTTGTATTTTTTTAAGAGAGGGACTGGCTGAAAATCGGCGCTGTGCTGTTGTTCACATTACGCTGGGACACTCACAGCATCAGTTGAGCCGGTTCCTTTTGCCTATTATAGGACACTTCTTGTATATTTTCTATATTTTCTATTGTGATTGTATGTTTACTGGCAATAAATGTTTTCTATTCTATTTTATTCTAAAATGAATCATAAACATCTCAGCCTCTATTTGATCACGGCTGAACATAGGCCTTCCTCATAATTTTCTATAATCAACGGTCCTGAACCACCTTTTGGTAAAATGAATCATGCGTTTAGTAATTTTACAATTCACTATGCTTTGTTTTATTATTTTGTTAATTCTCTTTGTGATTAATAGGGTTTCATTTTGTGCTAATTTTATCATGATTGAATTTTTTTTTTGCTGAGCAAAATCCTAATTATTAGCATTGCTATGCTTTATTTTGATATCTTCTTAGGTCTGATTACATTTTTATAAGTCGATAGCACTAAAATAATAATCAAATTTTTTTCTTAACAAGATAAAGTACTGCGGGACAGAATACGAGCTTACCTAGAACTGGTCTCCGGTCTGTCGGGATTACATTTTTTGGAGTTGCCAACACCACCCGAAGACACTAAAACTCGCTGGGTTTTCTTTATCAATCGTCGAGGACAGCTTACTTGTGGTGATCATACAATAAAAGAGTTCACAAATGAAGGAGTTCAGGTTAATAACTTCATATAATTATTCTTTTTTTTTTATCACCAGGAAACTTTTTTACCGGAAGGTCCATTTTAATCCAGTTTTGTTTCCTTTACTGTGTTTTTTTCTTAATAGCTGATTGTAGAATGGTTATTTTATGTATGGCAATAGAATGGTATGTTGTACGCTGGCGGAGCACCAATGAGGGATGATAGGGGAGGATAAAGCAGGTCAGTTGGCCCACCGTGATGAATTCAACAAAAATTATTCACATTATTTCTAGGGGAACCCGCGTAAAGGTCAATCTGTTAAGGTATATTGCTAGCAATGGAGCTGTTAGACTATTGGACCTCATTACTAACAATACCTCAACCTACCAACCCCACCCTTCAATTATGGAATAGTAACTCCGTTTGCGCTATCAATATACGCCAGCGGAATGTTAGCTCTTAGCTGTGCTTGTAGGACTGTATTTCGATTTGAAGGATAAAATATGCAATTAAATTATAAGGCACGGATATATAGTATCGTAGTTCTCATGTATGGCAACATATAAAAGATAAAATAGGCTTCTGTCATATCTATGGTGCTATATTCATGTCTATTAGTGACTGTTAGCACTTCCCATCAGGTGGATTATCAGCTTTTTTGCCTATTTAAAAATAATACGACAGCCATCTTGGATATTGCAGTGTATTTTTTTTTATGGGTAAAAATGGAATGGTAACCCCGCCTGCGCTAACGGGATACGCTGGCGGAGTACCAGTGAAGGGTGATAGATGAGAAAGAAAACAGGCCAGTTAGCCCATCATGATGAATTCATCAGGAATTAACCATGATAGTTTCCAGGAGGAACCGCGAGGAGGTCGACCTGGTTGGGTATATTGCTAGCAATGGGATTCTCAGTCTCCATTACTAACAATCCCTTTCCCCCCATTGAAGTGTATTCGATGATATTAGTAGTATTTTTCATGTTTATAGGTGACAATTACCACTTTCCATCAAATGGGCCGTCAGCAACGTGTACAGTTTAAAATATTTTTCGTATATTTAACTATATATACGGTCTTTGACTATCAGGTTACAAAGATATTTATAGCTTTACCAGAATAAACACACTTTGCATACATATGTCCTACTGCTTGTTTATTCTTTTCGAATGATGTTTAACTTTCAACATTATTATAGTTTTCTCCTCAGTCTAAAAGAATTTTACTTCTGTTTCTCAAATAAAGTAAGTGTCTGTAGTGTTACAAATAATTTTATAGTTCTTTTTTTAATAAAGAATTTTAAAATTATGCATATTGGGTTTAACATTTTAATGATACTATCTTTATACGATGCAGTTTATGTTTTATGTTTACTTTATTATAGAAAAAGACTCAGTTTCGAAAATATTATTACAGACTAATGTATTCTAAATATTGAATATAACCACGCACACACACACACATATACACACACGCCACAAACTAAAGTTCCATCCCAACCATCTGGATTTTTCAAGACCCTTTCTTCCACGCACAACCACTCTTTGGAATTAACTTCCTGTAGCAGTATTTCCAAACTGATACGATATTCAAGAAAAGAGCACATTCCTTTTTAAATGGCCGGCAGCACAGTTGCAATGTCTCTGATGTTGCGAGTGATCATGGGCGGCGGCTGTCACTTACCAACAGAGGAGCCGCATGCTCGTTTGTCCCCTGTGTTATATATATATATATATATGGGATTTCATTATAATCGGTCGAGTAGTTTTGGAGATTACTATGAACGAACACCGTGACATGGAATTTTATATATTAAGATAAGCACAGTGATAAAAAGACATAGATACCTACTGTAAAGTAAATCTAAACGTTGCCGTTATAACTGTCTATTCATACCTTTGATTATCCTGCAGTACTTATTATTTTAAATTAAGTTATTTCTATGTTATTTGAACAGAAAGTAATACTAGGTTATGATTGTATGTGTCCTGGTGGAGAGATAGGGGACATCGTACTAGCACTGGCCGGAGTACCGCCGCAACACAATGCTCCAAACCGCGATGAATTTATTACAGTAGTTATGGAAAATATTATCCCAGGTAATCTCTATTTATAAGCTTTTATTTAACTCGCAATGAATGTTAGTTAGTTTCTTTGTTGAGGTAAAATGTTACAAAAGAATTAGAACCATTTCTTGGCGTCCGATTATGCTGAAATTTTTCGCCTTCAGTTTTAGGGATAATTCGATAAAATTTAATATTGTAATACTCTCAAAATGGCCGTCACCACATTATGGCGAAATTTCATGGACTTGAACATTAACGAGAAATAAATTAGTTATTTATCCATATGATGAAGGGTTAAGAATACATTGAGATTCTCTATACGATGTAATCTATATATATGATTTGTTATAAGAAGTATTTATTAAAACAAAATACAATGTACCAGTCTGTGAGAAGAAACACGAAAGATGCCACGATGCCTCATAAGCTTATTAATTGTAAGCTATACCTTCCTTTTATGTAGAAACACCTATGCCCAGTAGTGGAAAATTAGTAAACAGTTGAACTAAGTTTACTTTCTTTTACAATATAATAACTAAACTAAAAATAAATATCTATTTTTAAGAGGTCAACCAAATTGAGTTAACACTTTGCAATTAAATATTTAAAACTCATCTCAAATTTCGTAGTTTTTTAAATTAAATATCATGTTATTTTGATTTTATAAATGTAAAAACTTTAAAATAATTTGGATATCAGATACTCATTATATTTTACATACAAGCAATAACTGGTCAATAGATCGAGATAATTTTGAATCTGAATATTAAAAAAAAATTACGACCTAGACGCGCGCTTATCTACGAGTTGGACGTTGGAAATACCTATATTAAATAAACATTTTGAAAATAAAAATACGGTTGTTATAAAACACGTATATTTTACACGTTTCAACAATATTAACCTTATTAATTATGTACATTACTATAATTGATGACTTATAAACAAATTAATATGTAAATAGATATAATTACGTAGATTAATTACCTGTTTGCTTGAATTGTGTGGTAATTCAGAGTTCATGTTTCTTTACTAATCTACCCCTAATCTAATTTATAAATGTTCAAATTCGATTTTATGACTGAATATTAGCCTATACATGCATTTTATTTTTATTATATTACATAATAGATATAGTTTAGCATTAAACATTTCTGTTTTTAGAGAAGAAGTATTTATTTGAAGCAGTGAAGGACAATGAGTGGTTGTTTCACGGACTAGATTATGATTTCTCCAGCGCTGGACATTATAACTTTCATAAATACACTACAAATGGTTCAGCGACTATTAGTCCTAAAGTAATAAATATTTTTATAGTAAATATTTAATACATTCTTATATTTTCGCGGTAATATTTTATATTACATTGTGAATTAATTACAATTTCATGTCTTAAATCCACGTGCTTTATATTAAACTAATTAATCATAGTATCAAAATGTTTATTTTTACATATCAAAGTGGCATCTAAATCGTTTATAATGGTAAATTTATTTCAAATTTGCAGACATATATACCTACTCTAATTGTCGGTGAAGGAGATGGTTTAAGCAATACAGACATTTTAAAAATAAGGATGATGTACAACTATATCTCTAAAAAGAAGTCCAGTCGTGCAAGAGCACCAGACTGTGTCAAAATATTTGAACCAGGAACAAATTTTAGTAATTACCAACCAAATAACGCTAATTACCAACAACCCAGAAAGAAGCCCAATCAATTTTTAGGTCTCCCTGATGATGATAAAAGAGATAATAACAGTGATAGTAATGAAATAAGTAATGAGAGAAACAATGAAAATGAGCCTAATCAGGAAACGAACGATGAAGGCGATAAGGAAAAAGGTGAAGATAATAGCGATTCAAAGATACAAGGTGAAAAATTTAAGCTAGCAACTAAACTAACTTACAAAAAAGGCCGTGTAAAATCAAGAATTTTAGATCCTCTCAGTTACTTGTCAGATTACCAAACAGATCAAGATCGTCGATCTGCATATCGTCATAAATTGAAAAACCTCGCAAAATAAGGAAGCCAGTAAAGTTGCGAAGATATCAATAAATATACAAAATATAATTAGTAGTTTAATATTTAAACATTTATTACATTGTTTATCACATTAAAGACACTTTTGTATGTCTCGCTTCACATAACATGTGTCACATATTACTTCGCAACACCATTTGAATTGACAATTACAATTCTCAGTCTCTTTGACCGTCGTATGCTTATATCCTCTTCTGCAGCAGAGCTGATCACAACTATCAGTTCCTGCAGAGCTGACATTGCATTGGCGTCCCTCAGTTCCAAGAGATCCAGTCTTCATATTTGGGGTACAGAAGTCTGGAGATTCTTCGGAATAGATTATGTCTCTTTTGCCAGGCCTTTTTATGCTTGGGCTTTCTGGCATGAAACTGCCGCCATCGTTGCTCGCGATAACCTGTTTATATACAATTCGTAAGCACGTACTTAATTTCCTATAGGTAAGTATTTTTAACACTAGAAACTCATAAAATCTTGTGTCATTTTTGATAACTATGACAGTAAGTACTAGCACATCTTGTATTATGAATTTAAAATCTTTAGATCTATATTTTAAAACTTTCAAATTAAAGTAACTTATATATAATATCATGAGATTAAAATTGGGTATTGCATTCTGCAATCATCGAGATAAACAAAGAGAGAGAGAGAGACAGAATTTTTTTTATCCATGGCAAATTCAACTATATTTCAAATAAAATTAAATTGTATATTTTACCTTCGCAGCACCTTCGAATCTATCTCGTAGCTTATCGCCGACTTCCCTGAAAGTGGGCATCCTCCACCAACATGTTCTTAGCATACAAGAACCTGACACTCCGTGGCATTTACACTCTATTCTCATGTTATTTTTGATTGCCTGAAACAAACATGATCATTAAATATCAGTATATGATAAACATTTCCTTTTATATATGAATAAACCTATTTGCTTCGCCAGGCTTAGGTATTACAATCCTTCGTCGTTTAATTTTATATTCGATTCAATTGTTAGTAGATCAATCTAAGAAAAGGAATGCCAATGTTTCTTTTAAGAAGAGTTTTGTTTGTAAGTTGTCTACAATCCTACTATAACTGTGTTTAGTACTACATCTACATATACTATACTGATGGATTATTAGTAGTAATTAGTGAGTATAGATATTTAAACTAAGATTAAGTCATCGATAGTTATTAAATACAAATATTATAATTTTAAATAAATGTAAAACTATACACATATTTTTGTAAGTATTATAAATAGGCAAAATTAATTAGCACATGTTTGTAAGTATATACAAAAGCACAAAGAAATATCACAGCAAAAGTGACACTTTTTAATATTAATATACATTTGTTTTTAAAATATCTACTCTCATAAAGAAATTATTATTTTTTATGAATTCTTCCTAATATAATTGCAACTAGATGAAAAATGTATATGTGAGGTATTAATAAGACCATTAAATGACAAAACAGTAATTTTTAGAAATTCTATCTGTTTACAGACAAAAAACGTGCCGGAACCAACAGTGTATGTTTGCAAAAACTATTGCACCAAATTAAATGTGGTGTTCCTGAAAATCTAATTTAAAATCTGGGTTGTTTATTTCTCTGACAACCATCTTGATACGTCATCTAGAAGTAGTCCATTTAATTGGTTTTCCTATTTCTGAAATCTACACATACGAAGTAGCGATTAGCTAGTATTAAATAAAATAAAACTTTATTCTTATAAAAACTATTTGATCTAAGAATTTATTTAGGATATTATTACTGAAATACAACACTGTGCGGTTACCATGTGAATAATATTAAATTGCATTAATAAAATACAATTATTTTATAATTAAATGAAATCCACTACGCTACTACTATTAATGCTAACTAAATAAAATCTATGGTCATTGCATATGCAAATTTAATATAGAACCTTATGGAGTAAGAGATCTTACTAACCAACCTCCCAGCATTATGGTTATGAAGTTTAATCATAGTCTTTATATCGCTTCGTTTTCTGTATCGGCTGTCCATGAATTCCCTAGACTTCCTGAGACCAAAGCGAACATTATCACTGCATCCACCCCACTGCCACCTTTCTGTTGGTACTGTAGAAGGTGGGAGTGTGATGGGTAAAACCTTCCCACGACGAGATTTTGGTGGCGCACCCTATGAAAATAATACAACAAATTTAATATATACAAAATTTTCAGAAGTATTAGTGCATTTTGTAGATCTATACAAGGGGCATAATATTTCAGATATCAGTCAGGTGTATACAAAAAGAGAGAAAGGATTTTTTTAAACATCATACAAAATAAAATATCAATGGATCTATAATAAGTGAGTGAATAAATCATCATCATTATCATCATATCAGCCTTTAACTGTCCACTTCTGAATATAAGCCTCCCACTTGGGGAGTTTTTTGTAGTTGCCATGCCTAGCAGGCGGATTGGAAACCGCAAACAGGCGTTACAGATATTTGAAGATGGACGCTGCTGCCTATCCCTTACCTTCCCTTAGTCGGCTCTTATGACACCAATGGAAAAGAAATGGGTGGCCTATTCTATGCCGGAACTACAGGGCTATATATTAGAATATTACTACGGACACACGGAATGAATAAATAACCAACACAAAATCCCATTTTCAGTTTTTTTCATTACATCCTCTGTCGATATATATTTCTCTTTACTCACACTCTCTTTGTATACTTCTTTTTCTTATTTGGCTTTTTAATAGTTTAAAAGAATTAGAAACATTGGTTAATACCTTTTCACATGAGCACTCCAAAAGTGATCCGGCAGTGCAAGCTCTGGTTATGGCATATGTGACCCCCGCCGCAGTGATTGCATTCACGAAACCTGTTTCTCTCGTGTCTGTGAAAAAAAAATAGATACATATATAAAAAATAAAATATAGGCATTTGATCAATACTCACACGAGCCTGAAGTATTGGTCAAAGAATTTTATTATCCTAATAATAACAAATAATAGAAAGGAGATGAAGCAAATTAGATATACTCTTAAACATCTACAAAATTTATTGTGGTATATAATGGCACAGAAAACAACAAAATAGTAAGGGAAAAAGAAATATGTAGATTTAGCTAATTTTTTTTTTGATAATTTACAAAATTAATTAGTAATGTATTTTGAAAAGGAAAGAATATGAAAAGCAAAGCTCTATTGAATATTTTTTTAACAATTATGAGAAAAAATTTACATTTTATATTAATTCGTTAGTAGTTTAGCCCGTCGATGCTCCTACAATGGGCTGATATCAAGAAGTCTTCGATTAGTTGCCGATTTAACATAATCTTATCTAGGGAGAAGAAAGAATTGGGTTTCCTCATTGCAATAGCAATAATTATATCTTATGTCATCTCCATGTGGTCCCTTCAAAAATTATCATGGTTAATTTCTAGTAATACTACAATGATTCAATTGATAAGATATTTAGGTCATCATTTCATCACTATTATTAAAAGCGTAACCATTTCACCTTTATTCATCAAATAACCTGATCGAGGATAGAAAGGTATTTTATTATGGCGACAAATATCGACCTTTAACTATAACGTACATATACACCAAGAATAAGGAATGCTGATCGTTCTCGCATCAAACATCGTGGAACCTGTATCAAAGTAATTCCACACTAGCCATTCATTATAGACAGTTTATACCATTTAAAGTCATATAGAAATAAAACAGTGAGGAGTAAGTTAATACAAAATGATACAAAGTGAAGCGTTTGACCCAAAAATCAATATTCACACGAGCCTAGTAATAAACATTGATGAGCTTCACGAATCGAAGGTTCCATCCATAAAACATTTATGAGCGACACACGGTGGTGGCAGACCTCGAGCGATCGTGCGAACTTAGTCTGTAAGTTCACTTCCATGTTTATAAGAATATTAGAAATTACCTGCGAGTTCGTCACCGTAACCGGAATGTTTTAAAAATTAGCCTGTCCTCTTCTATCCCAAAGACTACGTGTGTACTAGATTTAAAGACGATTTATAACAATATTGGTTAAGCCGTTAAGGTGCCAAGTGGTAACGAACAAGCACATTCACTTTTATTAATGATGATTTTTTTTCAATTAAATTGGCAAGGAAGTTATACTATCTGCGTGATAGTAAGCATCCGCAGCATCTTATGAATGCCAATATCGTTAGATGCGTATTGTCCCAGGTTTATCGAAAATTCGAGTGTCATTGGGCTCAGTACCTAGTTACTTCGTCGCCAATTTTTTAAATCCATTCAAAATATACCACATTGCTAATGTAATCTGTTTTGAAGGGATTTTAGTGGCTGTGGCTGTGGTTAGGGCAGAATTAATGGGTAAGATAGATATATATACACGATTTTGTATAGTCTTCCTATGATATGATACAACTGATGTGGGCGATACTATGGACTATAAGTATTCATTTAATGTATTAAAACAATAGATTAAAAAAAAATTCTAGATTTCATTATTTTTTTAATTAAATAGAAAATAAAATTATATTGAAGAAACTACGATAGTGTAGAAGACTGAAGGAGAAAGCAATTGACAAACAAAAAATAAAAAAGTCTAAAAATAAAATATATAGAAAACGAAGTAGTTTGCAATAACTGGAGAGAAAGATGTGTCGTTTAATTAGTGAATATAAGCTTGTTTAAAGACACGACTGTGTGTCCGACGATTTTAGAGGCACTCGGCTATAACAATTAATGGCGAGTCAACCGATGTTGGATGAATATTCAGACGCCATGAACAAAGTGAAAATTGCTGCACCACTCGCTGAATATGCGTCGACCATCATCACGGTGCGGTATGTTTTTGTTTAGGTCAGTGACTTCATATTAATGACCATCCGATGGTTTTATACCCGTGTAGATGTAAGCTTTTATGATAGTTACGTTGCATATTTTAGATATATTGTTTTTGTTGATCGTCATATGGTAAATTAAATTTCTTATAATTTATATGCATAATAAATAAAAATAAATTTGAAATTCTGTTCCATGAAGAACCAATTCAATATTGATGCATCAACATTAAAGTAAACTCGTTGATAAAAAAGTCACCAAAATTATTTTACAATTGTTGTACATGTTGTATAACATATACACAAATAAAAAAAAATAGTCGATTAAAAAAACATAGGCCTCCCTCTATTGGGTGGGTTTTGCCAGTAGTTGCCACGCTTGGCTGGCGGGTTGGCAATCACAGTTAGGCTTTGGTGATGTTTTGAAAGAGACGGTGCTGCCCATCTCTCTACCATTAATTTCCCTTACTCACTTGTTACATAAAAGGGATGGCCCATTCTGTGCTGGAACCACACGCCACAATACTAAAAATTGATAAAAATTAACTGGTTCAATAATTCATATTTTATGGCCTACTCTGCCATAAAAGGAAACTAATGGATATATATTTTATTTTAGATGTCTCATAATGGAAAAAATTAGGGTTGTATAATTTAAATAGCATACGATACACGTAGCATTTCTAACAAACCGTATGCTAGTGGACATAAGCGCAAGAGACAGTTATATATGATGATCTATTATAAAATGTCGCTTTAAGTGTTATTAATTATAAATTTACTTATATTTTCATGCGATATATGTGAAGTATGCATATACACTATTAGTATTCGAGTGCAAATGAAAGAAAATTTACCAAGCTGTATCACGTTGATATTTGTAAACCTTACACAATTACATTTTGCTCGAAAAAAAAAATTCTTTGGGTTATGTATATGATCATACTCTTCAACCGACCTCAAAAAGAAGAAGATTCCCAAATCGATTATATATGTATGTATGATTGTATTTTTTTGTTATTTGTTACTTGATAACTCTGTTAGTTGTAAACAGTTTGCTCCGATAGAAATTTTATCAATATTTTTTTTTGAAACAATCTATATATAACTATTAACAATCCACGATATTACTTATTTCTCAAAAACCTATTTTATTTATATTTATTATGCTTTGCTTAAGATTTTCAATTAAACAAATATTTTCACTGAATTAAAAATCATGATAAGCTGAAGCGTACCATACCAATTTAGCTCTACGGTGTGTACATAAAATCTACAGTAATCTTATAGTATATATATTTAAGTACATATTGACAAGATGTGGTCAACTAGGCGTACAGACTACAGACATCTTTTTATCCAGTCTATCTTCTCACTCGACAGGTGCGCCAGAATAATATATTGATCACTAGAGGCTAAGCTCGGTTCGGCAATAGTAGCGTAGCATTCATTAACTTCAGATTAGATAACTGCAAGGCTTGCGCAATGCGATGCAGTTGACGGCAGATCGGCATCGGGGGCCTATCGATCCCATGCTAATTGGGCCGACCGCGGCCCGACGCGACGTCGTATCGTCGCCGCATTCCCGCCGCACCACTGCAGCCACCCGTCCCGAGAGATACAGCAAAATTTATTGCACGAACAATTTATATAATTGACGTGCGACAAAAAAAGCGAGAGTGCACACCTATCCGCCGCAGAATTCGACCCGTAATTACACAGCCACCGATTGTCCGTAACAATTTTTATCGGGCCGTGATTAATTTTCGCCGGACGTCGTCAAGGATGCGTCCTCCGCTGGAATTATGAGAGGAATGTCAATTTCGAGATATTTTGCTAGTCGTTTAGCAGCTGAGGGGGAAAAGTGACGTGCAGGAGGCGAGGTGCATGGGAACAGGTCCGCCCCATGCATGCCACGGACGCTGCGTTTTTTCTGGCGCGGAGGGCGCGCGGTCTGTCGATAGGACGTCGCGCTCTCGACACTCGCTCGTCATTATAAATCCGCAGCGGTGAACTCAGAGCGGGGCATTCCACGCGTTCCGTTCGCGTTATGCACTGTAATTATAACAAAACGCGTCTCCGTCTCGCAAATATGTCGTTGGAAACCAGGGACATGACATTCTCATCACCAAACGCTACGTTTTTTTATATTATTCGGCCTCGAAATTCATCCTGCGTCGAACCACTCCCACGATGACCGCCGATTATATTCGGGGATGTCGCGATGGCGACTTTTTGTGGTCGCTGCCACGGGCGCCGGCGGAATGTCGGTATTCGTGTCCACTGCATTATTCAGTGGAATTGTCGATCAATCAATAAAAGCGATTGAATGAAATTGATTCACACATGAAAACTATATGGGTGCCATAACACGCTGATGGCGAGCGTTTTTACAACGCCAAATACTTGGAAGTCGTTCCGCCATTCACGTGCGGTCAATCATGAACACGCGCGATTGATTGTGCCCATGAAAACGTCTCGGACTTTTCTCGCGACGAGTAATTGGAAAACAACTTAGTAAGCTTCATTTACGACCGATCTGCAGTATTGGTAATGTCGTTGCCAGTTCTCGTAGGAAATACGTAATTAATTCTCTTACATGAACATCGTATTGGTTTAGAAACTTTTTGCTCTTTGACTTGTCTCGTCACAGTTCTTTTTAAGCGTCGATGTTGTCACGATATGTCATATTTAGATGACAAATAATAAATCATTCTGAAAATGGATAATCTACACTTTATCAGTCGTATTAAAGAAAAATATAAAGAGTACTATGGATGCCACTTTGATGTTTCATTATTTGGCAAGACGAGGAAGAAATTGATCAGACCTATAATATTGATAAGCTTGAATAGATTTATAAAATTGTCGCCATTCATTCTAGAATAGAATGGATCTTCCATCAATAAAAATAAAATCTACAATAATAAAAAGATTTATTTATTTATTTATTCTTTATTGTACACAAAAAAAAATATTACATATAATATATATAAAATAAAGGTGTACAATAGGCGACAATAAAAAAACCAAGATTGTGATAGCTTCTTTGT